CACCCGCATAAAAAATTTATTCTCAATGCATTTCAATACTCTCCTAGATTGCTCACATCCTGTCATGTTACCCCACTGTCAACATCTCTGCTGGGATTGTTGAAGTCCCCCATGAAGGTCAGGACCTGTGGTCATGTTGCTTCCTCTGGTTGGTTAAGGAAGGCTTCAACCACTGCCTTTTCTTGATCTTCTGGTCTATAACAGATTCTGACCACAGTCTCCTTATTGCTGGCCTCTCCTCTTATTCCAGCCCTTAAGGTCATGACCAGTTCATTGCTCATTCAATAGCAAAGTTTTAATTCAAAGTACTCCTTCATGTGGAGTGCAGCTATCCCCCCTGCCCACCTGTTCTCACTAGAGAGTCTCTATTTATCCATCACAAGCACCCCAGACTAATCCCACCACGTCTGTGATCCCAATGAAGTCAGCATTGCAACTGTGTCTATGTCTTTTGCCCGTTTCCCACTCTGTTTGCATCTGTGTCTAGGCACTTCAGATGGGTCCCTAATAGTACCACCTTCTGGTGAGAGTGTTTTTCCCAGGCACTTTTTCCCTAGTCACCATTTTGACTCCAGCTCCAAGTTAACATTGCTTGAAGCCCTTCTCGCAAGGTCAGCAAGTTCGTTGCCTAAGATGTCACCCGTTATTTTCTGTTAGATCCCATCTCTCCCCAGCTGCCATCCATCCTCAAAGGGGATCCAGTGGCTGTAAAAGCCTAAGCCCTGCCTATCTGACTGCACCAGCTGTTCAGCCAGGTGTTGACCTGCGGGAGGCATCTGCTTCTAACCAAGCCTTTCTCCTTGACTGCAGGGCCCAGAATTTTAAATGATCTTTTATTTCTAGGAGAAAAAGAAAGCTTTCAGAACGACATTCCAGTGTGAATTTATCTAATTAAGGATGAGTGGATTAAATAAAGTAGGTATTGCTGACATTTTATGTACTTTCACTTAATTTACTTAATTTACTTGAATGAAAGTAATAAATTTACAATGACTAACAGTATTCCTTAATGACAATTAAAAAAAAAAAAAAACAGTCAAGTAAGGCTGTTGATTTTATTTTTTCAAAAAGAATTTATGTTTGTAAACTGGTCAAAGACAAATAAGTATAAGTAGAACTTCTTGAAATCTCTCTGGTTAAAATCAGGTAAAAAAAAAATCAAAATAAGATAAAAAGTATTAGAAGGTTACTGTTTTGAACTTTATTTGGAATAAGGAGAAAACCTCCTTCCCTCTAAAGTTCTTGGTCTCCTTGCAACTGCTAATGATCCAAGATATAGTTGTTTTAATAAGCTAAATACTAAGTTATAAGCTGATAACTAAGTTTTAGAATGGAAACTTACTTAATTGTGCAGCTATGTAATTTCCTGCAGACTTTTAGACTACTTCTTCTATCCCTTAACATAAAAAAGAAGGAAGGTAGGCTCATTAAAAATAAAAAGAACAAAGAAGTGACATTAAAGGTTTTACTTCTCATAATAATGGAAACAGTAGATTGGATCATTAATAAGGAAAAATATGTTTTAAAGACCATGTGGCTGCAGAAGTGAGTAACCCAAAACAAATCAACCCTTGCCAGTAAATTAATTTTGCTGGATTCAATAAGCTTATTCCAACAATAGAAAATTCTCCTCTTCTGACAGTGCCATCTTCCTCAGCAGGTCTCCCTCTTTCCATCACCTCTGTGGACTGAGAGAATTCCTTCCCTGCTTTTCCAGCTCCCTTCTCTTCATCAATCTGCAGTAATGCCACAGTCTCCTTTTCTTTCTTTGCCTGGCGCACCCTGCATTCCAGATACTTTTCCCATCTAACCATGCTCAGGTGTATCCACAGGAGGAGTAATCCTCTTCTTTTCCCTCTATATGAAAAAATTAATGTGCAGAACATTCTTTGACTTATTACAAAGCCAAATAATAAGCAGAAAAATAAGTAGTAATATAATATAAAAAAACTCAAACCCTGTAAGCCTATCCACTAGATCTAAGAGGAGGAAAGGGTAGATGAAACATAACAGGGATCAACTTAAAGCTGCAAATTATCTTGTTTACCTTATGTGGTGTGTTAACCTGGGCTGGCTGCCAGATGCCCACCCACCCAGCCGCTCTCTCACTCACCCTCTTCAACAGGAGGGGAGGAGGAAATAAGATAAAAAAGCTTGTGGGTTGAAATAAGAACAGCTGGCTGGAACAAGCTATGTCCAGTATGGGGCAGCCCCTGGCCTTTTCTCACAGAGGGCACTCCTGTGCCCGGCCCCCACTGTCAAAACCTTGCCAGTGACACCCAATACACCTCAATAAAGCAATATTCAAAAATTGACTCATTAAAATCTGTCAGAAAGTATGTAAAATTAGGCTCCAAAAATTCATAGCTGGTGTGGAGTTTAAAGTTAACTGTGCCTGAGCTCCAAGCCAGGATAAATGCTCAGCCTCCAAGCCATAGAGAAATTTCTTGTCCATACTAGCACAATGCCAAATCCAAGCTACTAATCTCTGCTGAAAAACTAACGTAGTCTTGTGGCTCTGTTTGGCTTTGGAGCTCAGGCACAGTTAGCTTTCTTCTGACTAGAATATATCATGCAAACATATCCTTAGATGCTACAAACTATGTAGCACAGTTGATGTTTTGTGTGAGTGAGCCAAGCAGATTTAGTCTCTATGGTTGACACTCTGTGATACATGGAAAATCTTTACAGTAAGTCTTCAAATGTTTATCCTCTACTGAGATGAATTCAAAACCACAGCTGTAAGCTCAGAGTTGGTCTATGTAGAATGAGGTTTTCTGGAAATGTACTCCTAATATATAACAAAAATTTTCAAAGGCATGGACTTCTTTTCACAAGAGAAGTGGAAGAGGATGCTAAAATTCACATCTACAAAGTGGATCAATATCAGCTGGTGAACGCACTTAACCTTGATACTGTAGTCATGTGGTACCAACTGGTAGTAACAGTACAAGCAGCAAACTCGGAGATTAAAAAGCAAATGACATATTCTTGAAATCTGCCCAGTTACCTGCCCAAGGTAACAAATCAAAATAAGGTAACAACTTTATGAAGGCTATTGTGAAGCAAATGGCATAACCCAAAGATCTAAAGGAAAGTAAAAAACCCCAGACTTTTACATCTTACATGCAGCAGCTTTTGGAACTCAGTGTCTGTTCTTAAATAGGCACAGAGAGCCATAAGGAGTTAGGAAAAAGCTGTAATGAGAGACCTTTGAAAGGTTAGTTTCACTCCTTTGGACAAGAATCTTCTCTGTTTTGCTTGCTGTGATGCATCATAGGGCTAATAGCAATAAGATAGACCATGTGAGACACAGCCTGGCTGCAAAGTTCGTCCCATAATGGGAAAGAGGGTCATAACACACCTGAACTGCAGTTCCTGTGAGCTCCCAGGGCAAGTTCAGTAGGTACAGATTACTGTCAAAACAACCCAGATAAAGTACTCAGGAACTTCCCATTCCACCTGGGAAAGCAATAGCTTTAATGTTCTACTCAGTTTCAGAATCACTTTTATATTGTGACATTGACCTTTCTTGTAGAATGGACATTATGATTTTTGATCAGGAAATGAAGGAACAAACTTGCCAAAATATTTTTGCTTAATGCTGACTTTCAAATAAGCACAAAGAAGAATGGTGTTAAGGCATTCACGTCATGGATGTTACTATATTTACTTATACTTCTAGAAAATACTAACAGACTATGTGTATACAAAAAACCCAACCCAAAACAACTAAGATTCCCACCCCCAACCAAAAAAAGAGAAAGGAATAAAAAAAGATTAAACAAAGTCACCAGACTATACAATGATGTAATTTTACTGATCTTTATTTTCATGTTTCTAAAGAATCAGACTTTGAGATGCCATAGATTTTTAGTTTTAGCATTTATTTTACAGTCAGAAAAAACCCAACAAAAAAATTAAGATTTCTGAACTATTCAGTGCTTGAGACAAATTCAGATATGACTTGGAAAGTAAGTCAGCAGTAAATGAGGCTCTTGTATTTTCTCTTTGAAACAATGCAATGAAAAGGGAAGAAACCGTACAACCATCGTCATTCATGTGGCAACAATAGATCTGACTCTGCAGCAGCCAAAACAAGTTCTTTAAACTGTGCATTGCTAGGATTAGTAAGAACTGAAAAATACAGTCAAAGAAAGAGGATATTTTTTCTCTTGACTATTTCCATGTAACTCCGTTGTTCCCATTGTCTTTTTTCTAGCGACTGTGCCTCATCAGCCTAAACTGTTGGTTTCAGTATCTGTTTTCCCAGTGTGATGTAGGACATTAACTGTTGCTTCTAGTGAAACCAAAATGAGATGACAAGGAGAACATTAAAATGATCTTTTAATTTCATCTCCAAAGATGAAAAGTAAACACAGCATGCTCATGCAATGGCTTCCTGTAGGGACATTTTTGTGCTGGAAGTCATCTAAGAATTAAGACTGAATATATTTTAGTGGGGTGCAGGGTCCTATTTGCTATTCCAGGAAATCATTTTGGCTCACTGTCTATAAATCAAAGCAGCTCCAGCCAGTAACAAGAAAGCTTGCAAGCTTACAAAAATCTTTATAATGAAATAGAGACATGGTACAGTTATACACACTTAGATACATACAAAGCACCTCCCTGATCAAATAGTATGAGGAAAAATAATCTCAGCTGCATAGGATTTCAAGATGTTAATCTGAGACAATTACAGAAAAACAGCTTTTTGTCAGGCTTCCTTGACAGAGATACAGAGAGAACAAATACATGAACCAAATGTTCCTGTAGTGCAGGAGTAAGTTTATAAGGAAACTTTTCTTTTGTGATTTTGCATTGTTAAAAGGCAATTTATACATGCATTTATCTGACAGCAGATGCTGTCATCTGACTTTAGTGCCTTCATTTGCTACTAAAAACAGTTTTATTTTTCTCTTTCCGATAAAAAATAACAAGGTTGTATTTATTGTGTGCAGGTCTCTCTCTGTGTTAAATAAGTTATTTTAATGTTGCAGATCTTCCAACTATTGGCTCAACCGCATCCAGTCCTTTCTCTACTGCAATGAAAATGGCCTCCTGGGAAGCTTTTCTGAAGAGACTCACACATGCACCTGCCCTAATGACCAGGTTGCCTGCCATGGGTTCCTTCCCTGCACGGTTGGAGATGGCTCTGCGTGCTTGAGCTGTGCTCCTGACAATCGCACCCGCTGCGGGAGCTGCAATGCTGGCTACATGCTGAGCCAAGGGCTTTGCAAGCCTGAAGTGGCAGAATCAACAGAGCACTACATTGGGTTCGAGACTGACCTTCAGGACTTGGAAATGAAGTATTTATTGCAGAAGACAGACCGGAGAATTGAGGTCCATGCCATTTTCATCAGCAATGACATGCGCCTCAACAGCTGGTTTGATCCTTCTTGGCGCAAGCGGATGCTCCTTACTCTTAAGAGTAACAAGTACAAGTCTAGCCTGGTCCATATGATACTGGGCCTCTCTCTTCAAATTTGCCTAACTAAAAACAGCACCTTAGAGCCTGTTCTTGCTGTTTACGTCAATCCTTTTGGGGGCAGCCACTCTGAGAGCTGGTTTATGCCTGTGAATGAAAATAATTTCCCAGACTGGGAGCGGACTAAACTGGACTTACCCCTTCAGTGTCATAACTGGACGCTGACTCTGGGCAACAAGTGGAAGACATTTTTTGAAACCGTACACATCTATTTGAGGAGTCGAATAAAGTCAAACGGTCCAAATGGCAATGAGAGCATCTACTATGAACCCCTGGAATTTATTGATCCCTCAAGAAATCTGGGCTACATGAAAATCAATAACATCCAAGTGTTTGGCTACAGCATGCACTTCGACCCAGAAGCAATTCGAGACTTGATTTTGCAGCTGGACTACCCCTATACTCAGGGATCACAGGACTCGGCACTTTTGCAGTTGTTAGAGATACGGGATCGTGTAAATAAACTCTCTCCACCTGGTCAACGTCGTCTAGACCTCTTCTCTTGCTTGCTCCGTCATAGACTCAAACTGTCTACCAGTGAAGTGGTGAGGATTCAATCTGCTTTGCAGGCCTTTAATGCCAAATTGCCAAACACAGTGGATTATGACACAACCAAATTATGTAGTTAACCATAAATGTGAAGCACAACACAAAACCTTGAAGGAGTTTTTACAGTGCTTTTGTGGAACAGTTTATGTTTGGAAGAGTAAATTTAAATTGTCTTTTCAATATCTGTCTTATATCAGTCAATACTGTTGGATGGCAATTTACACACATGAACTTGCTGACAATGAATATATTATACCTGCAGTTTTGGTTTATGAATGAAATAAATACTGACACCAGTCTAGAAGACATTCTACTTTTTACAATAAATTTCATTTGTAATTTTATATGTTCCGTGGCAATGCTTTTGTGCATTACATCCTCTAGAGGGAACATAGAAGGATACCAATAAAATTTTGTAGCTGAACAGTTATTAAAAAGAAATGCTGTGGGATTCTTTTTTCTTACACAAAAGTAGTAACCTTGATACACTTTTGTGTGTATTGAACACAGGAGGTGTAGGTAAAGAGAAGATAGTGACTGGAGATTTTAACAGAAACTGTAGAAAAGTAAAAGCCATAGAATATTTTATTCTTAGGATGTGGATCTAAATGTTCATGCTAGCTGAAGTGACAACTGTAGTGATGCTTTGCCTGCTACACCTGAGACTTTCCTAAGGCATGTCCTTTTCAAGGTGCTTAACATGACATACAGACTCCCAGAGCGGTAATATTGAGTGTTTTAGGATGGGCAGGAGGTTAGTATTGTGAGTGTCACAGTAATGAAAGGTTGCATTAGCTCAGTAGGAGACAGGTGAGAGGCTGCCTTTGCAATGGATATTACTCACGTTACAAAAGAAACAACCTTTTCCAGACAAAGTGCTTTTTGAAAGTCTCCATAATCCTTTGCTTATTTATAAAAGAATGAAGCACATGTATACATTACCTTCTCACAAATACACACACTATAATATTTATCTAGAATTATCTGTTTTGAACTATTTACCTAAATACCATCCATGCTGATTAGATTCAAACTAATTTAAAAAATTTCCCTGACAATGCAAGTGTTTAGTATGTGGATATTTTTTTCATTGGTACAGGTAATATCCTTTCAGTGCAAGATTTTTAATTTTTAAAAAATATACTCTTTTACAGGTACATGATACATGACAGCTATTGAAATCTAGTTTATAAAGCTGAAAGTGCAAATAAATATGTCATTATCAATTAATGAAGTTAATTAAATGTGCATCACTGTGGATCAGAATTAAGTTCTTTGGTATTTCACACATTCCAGCAGAAAAAAATACATCTAAGACAGCAGAACTTGGGACTCTCAAGAAGGTTTTGCTACCTCTTGAAAAAGAATAGTACAAATGGCTGGGCTTCAGAATTCCTTGTTAGTAAATACAGCGTAAAGTGAAGGAAATTGATAAAAAAAGTCTTTTAGAAGGACCTTCTTACGTTAAGTCTGAATCTGTGTCATTGATGTAAACTTGTTTTTTAAAATGGGAAAAAATTACATACAAAACTACCATTTTATGTGCAAGCACAGAAAGAAAAAAAAAATTAATTAATATACAATTTTAATTCAACTAGACTTTGATTAATTTCAATTAAATTCAATTTTATTAATTTCAATTTGGTTGTATTACAATTTAATTCTGAATTGTAGCTTAATCTGAATTTAAGGTACACTCCTTACTTTGTTTCTAACTAGACCACAGCAGGACAAGAAATGCAATGCTTCATAAATATATGTAAGCAAAATAAAATGCAAGGGCAAAAACACTTCAGAAAGCCTACTGCCAAGGAAAATCTTCTTTTCTTTAGTGATTCCTGTCTCTCCTGATTTCACCAAATATTTATAAGGACTATTATTTCACCACCACACATTCAGATAATCCCTCAGACCTTCTATACTAGGAAGCCCCATAGAACTAAAACTAGCATTTTTTTTCTTGTAATCAACCTCTAGATGAATTCCTGTTTGCTTTCTACTTACAGCTTTCTTTTGCTGATAAATAATGTATCTCAGCCCCCTCTTCTATGTGTCAAAATTTTGGCTTGCACTTGCATTGGTAAGACCTTCTCAGTTAAGATTCTTACTATTCCTGTTTTCATCTCCCAGTTTTTCCTTTGGTATGTCTTCGGCAACTATAATAAACTGTAGAATTAGATAGTTTGATTTTACTACTCAGTACCTTGTGTAGTCTTTTTAAATAAACAAAAAACGATGATGTTATAAAATGAACAAAAAGGAAAAAAAAATCCTCTTCTGTTCATAGAAAGTAAAAGTTACAATAAAAATGTGAGGCAATGATAAATAAAGCATTTGCTTATGTTATCCCTTCACTGGGGAAAAATATTAATATGTCATGGTAAATGATCTGAGTTTTTTTTCCCCCCTCTTTCATGCTCCTTCCTAAAATAGTTCCTCAATGACTTACTTTTTTCTTTCTGGGTTGTTTTGTTTTGTTTTGTTCACTTTTTTTGTTTTTTAAATATATTTCTCTGCCAAGATGGAAAGTTCTTCGCTATGCCCAAATATGTACACAATAGAATGTACAAATAAGAAGAAGTCAAAAGAAGCTTCAATCAGACATTATTTAATTATTATACAACACATTAAGTGTATGTGACCCGACTAGTGAAAAACCCCTGTCATTACTGTATTTTTGTGCCAAATTAAAAGTATGATACAACTTTCTTAGCCTACTAGTCATGGACTAGTTTTGGATTTTGGAACCTGCAGGATCTTGGAATAGTGAGGATTTCTAGTTTACCAAAACCGGATTCCATAAAGATAAATATAAAAGGGAAAAAAAAAAGTGAATAATGAAAAAAAAAGTCACAGGATTTATCTGGTTCTCAAGTTGCAAACAGGAGTCAACAATATTTCCCTTTTGATACTTTTCCAATTGAAATCTTTCTATGTTCTCAAAAAGAACTTTAGGGTGTGTAAAAAAAAAGAGAAGTCTGGATAAGTCAAAACAGTCAAGGACTTGATCCGTAAGAAAATTTTGTAATAAGATATGAACACACTTGTGGGGAAGAAAGAACTGCGGCTACATCTATGTACACTCATTTCCATCTGGACATTGCAGATGATATTTCTCCTACTTAGTGTATGCTGTACATCAGATCCTGACTCTGTTTTTTTTGCTGTCCATTTCCCTTTGCATTCACCAATGCTGTTATTACCTGCCATTATAAACTGAAAAAAACCCCAAGGAAATTATAGTAATATATGGAACTGTACCATGACAACCTAAAACAGTATTCAGAACAAACTTTAGTGACTATAGTTCTAATAACCAGGTAGATATTAATTATAATATAGTAACCTTCCTGCTTAAGTTGCCTAACAGGCAACTGCTATCTGATACAAAACTCTTATAACACTATTTTCCAAGTCAATACAATTCAGGTCATGTCTGAAGGCTGGGAGCCAAACTAATGTCTAGAAGATCTCTTGCAGGAACAAACTGTAATAAGGATGAGATACCTTAACACTGCCTAGACACCAGAATTAGGTTTGCCAGAGTGATCTAAACCTCTAGGTGATACAATTCAAAATACAGAGGCTGAATTGAATCATATTAAAAATATCATGAAGATGAATAAACTTTCATTTCTTTCATTCTGTACTGAGAAGATACAGGCAGAAAGAAAATGTGTTTAAATTCTAGTGGCTGAAGGTGAGGAGAGGTGTAATTGCATTTCAGGATGTTTCTTCCATTGCCACAGAACAGTTACACCTGTACAAATATTTGGAGGAAGAGCCTTTGTTTCCAAAAGTATGTATATGCTGACTGCATTTATCGTGAAAGTGCTTATTTGGCAGATACTTCAAATTGGTAAAGAGGCAAAAGGCAAGAGAAGTCAGTTTTTCCCAGGCTGAGTAATCAGCCAGGCAGCTTGAGCAGGAGAGAGGACAGAGACATGAAGGAGGGTCTACAATTGTCGAAAGGTCATTTGGTTGAAAATACAGCACATATTCCAGGTACAAAGCAAAACATAGCAGAGCACCAAGGAGAAAAGTGATCAACACCCACATCACTACTCTACTGAGCTACACCTAAACTTTGAGTCCTGCATGGCAATAGAGTAAAATAGGTAAATGTGATATGGTAAAGGATCAGTCTTTTATAATCCAGCACCAATTGTTTCTTTGACAGGTAGGTGACAGAATCTGGACCATAGCTCGTGCTAGCACAGTCACCCTTATGAACGGGAGCGTGCTCTAGACAGTGCAACAGGGGTTCCTGCCAAGACAGCTGGAGTGCAAGCGGGAAGCCAGAAAAAAGTGGAGACAGGGAAGGAACCAGGATCAGATTTTACTAGGCTTTTAAACAAGTGGAAGAGAGACCCTATGTCCTAATTGTAGTTGAAACAAGAGACCAAGATCACCTTGGGTGTGGTAGGAGTTTGGTAACAAGAAATGTCACGGCTCCTTTTTCGTGAGAATCAGTGACATGAGAGACCTTGACACCACAGCGAGTATGGTGTTATTACTGCCATACGCAGTTGATTGAGACTTATGGCACAGGCAGTTTATCAGGCTGCATGCCTGAATCTGGGTCTATTCACTCAGCTTCATATTCTAGGCAGATGTAGCATAATAAACTAATATTCTTCTGCATACAGATATTACTTATTAAGCAACCTATAACCTTGGGGCACAGTGTATATAATGTCAACTTATCCACATAACAAAGGAGTGTATGGCCTTCCAAGACGTTCTATGTTCACAAATATGGTGGAGCGGCCACATCACAGATTACACTTCTTTGGGAGCGAGTGCACGTGGAGGAGCAGGAGTCATAATTTCTTTCTCTCCTCACCAAACCAACAACATTAAGGTGTGAATTCTGATTAAGGAAACGGTTTTATCTCTCAGAAATGGTGCAAATTTTTCCTTCCCTACAGATTATTTCTTGGATGGTAATGTACATCTAAAACTATCAGTGTCTCTTGTCAACACACTTACATACTCCTCTTTATTCTATGGTACATTCTATTCCAACATATGCATATATGAAAGAGAAATACAGCTAAATGACAATGCTAGTAAATAGCTGATGCAGGGTTGCCTGCTCTCTGGACACAGCTGCACTAGTTATTGTATGTCTGCCTATGATCTGCTCTTCAACATACAGCAAATAGAAAAGAGGGTAAAACCACCTGGGAGGCAGAGATGGTTTTGCTCTGAAAACAATATTCCCATGAGAGGGCCTAATCCAGAGCATGACCACCTTTCGAACATATTACAAGAGCTTTCTCTTATTAAAAAAAAGGCTTTTTGTCATTTCTCAGCTGACATGAAAGGGGAAAGAGAAGAAGAGGATTAAAACAAAGCCAGGTGTGTGCATGTCTAACTATTGGAAAAGGGGAAGAACAAAGAATCTTTGAAGTCCCTTCAGGATCT